AAGAGAAACCAAAAGAAAAAATAGTAAAGAACAACTCAGTGAAGAAATTTGATTTATCAAGACTCAACTTCTTTATCCATCGTATCAGGTATTTTCAAAAATTCTAGATAGGAGAATAAGGCAAATCAACTTACCAAACAAAGTTGTTCAAAATCCCTCAACCTCCCTAAGATGTACTATAATTTTGTAAGCTTCATATTCATGTCCCTGATGTGAAAACACAAAAACTCCAACTGTAACAAGACATGCCATAAAAAGAAAAAAAGTATCGCGAGTCCAAAAACTAATACACGTATGTAATACAATAATTGATCTTATCCAAGGCAGAATGCGAAGTATGTAAATGTAGAGGCTTAGCAAATCACAAGGAATTGATAAAGTAGATGATAAGTATGAAAAGATTGAAATTTGAAATGTGAATAGTCTAAGTAGAGATGACCAAATTAAAGCCTAACGACAGTATAGACTATGAAGTATATGACGATTCAGTGAAACAAATTTTCATCCAATTTGCAAGATTCTGTACCCATTTGAAATGACACAACTTTAGCTTCATCCTAATAAAGAGGAGTACTTTAACCTCAGCAAGGAAGAGGATATTTTTTAGTAGTATAATCATCATCATAATCATAAATTACAATTTCCTCTATATTTGTATGCTTCATATTCATGTTCCTGATGTAGAAACAAAAACACTCAAACTGTAGCAAGACATCCCATCAAAAGAAAATTATCAGAAAGTTGAAAACTAATACACGTATGTAATACAATAACCGATCTTATCCAAGGGCTGAACGCAAAGTATGTGAATGTCTTTTTGTCACAGGTTCCATAGCAAATCTCAAGGAACTGATGAGAGTTGATAAGAGTAGATGCTGAGTATTAAAAACACAGAAATGTGAAGAGTCTACCTGCAAAAGATGTTGAAGTATACGACACGGCCTATGATGAAGGTTATTATATTCTCACAAACTACACTTCCTGCAAGACCAGAGGAAATAAAAGATCAAGAATAATATGCTTTCAAAATAGGAATAAAGAATTATTGAAAACAGATTTTAAAAGAAATCAAAATAGGAATAAAGAATTATTGAAAACAGATTTTAAAAGAAATCATCAAACCGACTCAAGCTCCATGCTTTATTGAATATTATTTTGACAAACCCAAGCAGCATAAAAACAAGTTTAGAATTCAAATTTAATGCCTTGTGATCAGTCGAGAAAATATAAATACTAAAGAACGACTCATTTCTATACCACTATCGTTCATACCATTGTAATCAATAACTGCAAACTGCTCCAGATATCAAAGATATCAGCACGCTGTAATACTGATATGTGTCAAAACTCTTTTAATTTTAACAGTATTGAACGATTAATTGATTATCAAATGAAGCATTATATAAAAAAAAAAACCTACACATTATCAAAAGAGTATCGGAAGACAATCGATTAGATACTAAACAAGACCATTAAAATATGAACCCGATCAAACCCCTACATCAAAAGACCATGTAAACCAAGGGGGAAAAAGGAGTGAATATAAAAACAAATATCAATCAATGAAGAGGAAGATTGAACCAGAAGGATAAGTTCACAGTTCAATTTGCATGCATTACTAAGAGAAGTTAAAGTAATAATAATAAAGAACAACTCATTAAAGAAATTTGATTTATCATACTCAACTTTCTTATTCATTGTATCAAGTATCTTCAAACATAAACACATATTTTGATTATCCGAGAGATGGATATGAATCCAAGATCTTCTAATGATTAGATTTGTTATTCTGAAAACGAATAAACACAAATCAACATTAGCACAGTACATTGCTATAGAAAAGAAACTATTACAACACAAATCCAAGGAAAAATGAACAATTATCCAAGGGCGCTCAAAGCATGTCCTTAATAATGGCCACCACAACTTTCAAAATCCCCTGTAAGACCAAAGTATACACAAGTGGTTGATAATATTTGACATGGAGAACTTAACATATCTCCCCTGTTATGCCCACCACATAGAACTCACAAAACAATTCAAAAAACTAATCGTCAGAGAAGAGATCACCACATGAAAGCATAACAACAGCATAATGCAGATTCTGTGAGAGACATCTATTTGGGAAAGAAAACTCTTACTATACATATTGCTGATTCTGTGAGACACGTCTATTTGGGGAAGAAAACTCTTATTGCTATACTTATATAAGACAACTGTCAAGAAAAAATGGGAAATAACTATAACAAGGAAACTATAGAAACAATTCTAACTAACCAACCTGTAAAAGGAATCAAGGGAAATATGGTTATGTGACATTCTTGTTTAGCACATACAAAAAAAAAAGGACAAGCAAACTTTCTTGTTTAGCACCAACCCTAAATTTAAGAAAGAAGAGAAAGTAGAAGACAAGAAATCAAGAAAATCTACCCAACAAATCAAGGAGCCAAGGACCGAGAGAAAATAGAATACAACTCAAGCAAACTTTCGAATCAAGAAATTGAAAGCATATCCTCTCCTGCAACACCAAAACAAATCAAGAAATATATGCTCTATAAAGAGTTATTAACCAAAAAGAATTTACAAGATATCACCAAATCAAAACTCGAGACTGTCTTGCAATGAAGGTTGTTAATTAGACAAACACACTCGAAAAACATGTTGAGGTCAATTTAGAATGTACTGACATCAAAGCAAATAAATAAATATAACAAAAAAGGAATCATTGAAAAAATTAGATTTATCTGTAGTGTTCTCAGTTCTTATCTGTTCTTGGTGGACTTCCCCACTGTCTGCAACAAACTTGATGACAAAGAAACTTACTCTGTTAACAATAGGTTGTAGAAAAAGAAACAAGAATAAGGAGAGAATATGGAATAATTCTCTAAACCAAGTCCCAGATTAGCATAACAGAGAGAGGCCCGCCAATTTAGCAGTATTGATGTAAAGAACCCTTAAGAGAGGCTTGATACTACGCATAATGTTAATCTACAGTACACTACATAAAACACAGCCTTATTTCAATTGAGATGTATGACGGTAAAAGCCAGAACAAAATCAAGAACCCATGAAGACGTCAGGATACAAACATGAAGATTAATGCTCACAAACTACCTTTCCTGCAAGACCAGAGGAAATAAAAGATCAAGAATAATAAGTTGTCAAAAGGAATAAAGAATTATTGAAAAATTAAAGACAGGTATGTAAACTTGTGCACTGTCTGAAACAAAAACCCAAATGTAGAACAAACATTTGTAAGAGAAAAGTTGAATTGATGGTAAGAACCCTTGAGAGAGGCTTGATTTTGCTTGTGCACTGTCTGAAACAAAACCCAAATGTAGAACAAACATTTGTAAGAGAAAAGTTGAATTGATGGTAAGAACCCTTGAGAGAGGCTTGATTTTGCATAGAATGTTATTCTACGCTACACTGCATAAAACAGAGCCATATTTCAATTCACATGTATGGCGATAAAAGCCAGAACAAAATAAAACCTCAGAAATCAAGAAACCAGAAAGAAAATTATAGTTACAAAGAAAGCCCCACAAACCTTTCTCAATTTCTCCAAAATCCTTTGGAATGGAAGATCATAACTCAAAAACTTAAATGTAAGAAAATAGTAGTATTTATGAGATCAAAAACCCCCAAGGATGACTTTGCAAGTATAAAGGAGTAAAGAACAAGACTACAAAGTAAAATTCATCACTCACCGCACATCAATACTTATCTCTCTCATGAAACATCTAAGTGACATAAAGGGGTAACTCCAGAAAACAGGACAATAGAACTCTATATAGTAGAAATGAAATGAAAACAATTCACAATCCAAGAAGTGTAAAAAAATAACCTGATTTCTTGATTACACATTGCTTGATACTACACAAAACACTATTGTCACAAAACACAATTGGTGCAAAACACTCTGCATAACAAAAAATAGTACATATTTCAATTAGCAATTCAAGTAAGGTGATAAATACTAAAAAATCACCATTATTTGATATCAAATAATTTTCAAGGTTAAAACTAACAATAACCAAATCAAACCTAAGAATTAAGAAACCAAAAAATTAACAATGAAGATCAAACAACACCAAAAAGTACATACCAAATCAATGAAGATATGCTTCCAATAAAGAAATATTAAAAATGAAAAGTATTTAATAGAGATCACCTAATCAAAAATTAAAAGGCTAAGCTTCATCCTAAGAAAATTATTAGTTCAACAATCACATTCAAAATTCAATTTATATGTCTTGCAATCAAAGCCGAAAAATGAAAATAGTAAAAAATGAGCCATTGAAAAACATTGATTAAGCTATCTAGATTTATACTTTGTTCTTGTATGTTGAATCAAGTCATTATGGATATCCAAACAGATAAATGCATCTCTTAATTATTAAATGAAGAATTGAATCGAAGAGTTATAGAAACATTACTATAATCAATCCTTAAAAAAAGAGTGGAAAGAACTCTGAAGCTCTCAATATTATCTACAATCCAAGTTATACATGTTAACAATATAGAACAAAATCCATCTACAATACTTAGTTATACACGTGTTAAATCTATATCGAAAATCATTAGTTGAAGTTGTCACCATATTAAATAAACCAAGGCTTGATACTAGAAAAAGTAATTGCTTCAACACAGCAAGCCGGATCATATCTTGAGCCAAATACAAAATATTCCAAATGATGAATTAAGTCACAAACTCTCATGTCAAATAACTGCCTGATTGATTAATCTTTCAGAACAAAAGAGAGCCAAACCAAGTTGTCCAGAATTCCATGGCTTGGGCAGAAAGATGTACTCTAGTCTAGAATCTTGAATGCTGCATTATTCTGCTCCTGATACAAAAATACAAAAACCAACACTCCCGAAACACAGTATCAAAACAAATACAAGTCTATTAAAAAAGACTTGCATAGGTTAACCTTTGCTTGCCACATGCCACAACACAACAGACTTTCATAGATTCTCTTTTTCACTTATATACATCAAAATGCTGAGTAGCAAACACTGAAATGTGACGAGTCTTTCTTAGTACCCAATATGAAACATGACCAATTAAGCTTCCACCTAATACCTAAAGAGCTATTGGGCCTACACCCCAAGGAACAAATTAGCAAAACAAATAATACCAGCCAAGTTATACAAAATTCCTCATCCTGGAAAGCAAAGTTACTCCCAAATCTAGTATGCTGAATCAGAGCAAAACTCAAGTTATGGATAGAGAAAAACAATAAAGCTTCATCACTAAAGAAATACATATACCTTCAAATATCACAAAGATAAAATGAATCAATAGATAATATAAACACCAGCTAGTTAGTTTATTCATAGAAGATAGTTGACACAAAGCAGCAAAGACACTTATCTCCCGTTTCTATATAAAAGGTGAGTATGATTGAGAATTATGAAAACTTGTTGTACAGTAAACTTGATGGAATAATTAAACTGACAGATAGTTTGTGTAAAAGAACCAAGAAGAAACAAAGAATACGGAATAATTCTCTAAACCAAGTTGAAGATCAGCATATCAGAGAGATGCCCGCCAATATGTCGAGATGTCTCCAAAATCATGTAAAACTTCTGCACAATCTGAATACAAAAACCTAAAAGTAGAACAACCATTTGTAAGTTATCCCACTAAGTGAGGTCTGGGGTCGGCTAGATGGATCAACATTCGCAAACCAACCCCAACTATGAAGTGCAAAGCCAGGTTTGTCCAAAATTCCTCAACCTCCTTAAGATGTACATCTAATTTTGTATGCTTCATATTCCCGTTCCTGACGCAAAAACACAAACTCCAATTATAGCAAGATATGTCATCAAAAGAAAAGTATCACAAATCCAAAAACTAATACACTGTAATACAATCACAGATCTTATCCCAATATTAACGCGAAGTATGTGAATGTCTTTCTATCACAAGTTCCATAGGAAAACACCACAAGGAACTGAAGAGTAGATGCTAAGTAAGAAAAAGACTAAAATGTGAAAAGTCCAAGTATACATGACCAAATTAAAGCCTAGTAACAGTATGGCCTATGAAGTGGCCTATGAAGTATATGAAACAACCTGCAAAAGATGATGATTCAGTGAAACAAGTTTCCTCCCAATTTGCAAGATATAGCTATATGAAATGACACAATTTTATCTTCATCCTATTACAGAAAAGTACTTTTAACCTCTGCAAGGAAGAGGATAATTTTTAGCGGCGGAGGGTCACCGTTCCGGGCCCACTATAAAGGAGAGAATCTGCTCACCAAATTTAAGAGAGAAACTAAAATACAACACAAGCAAACTATAGAATCATGAAAACGAAAGAATGTCATCTCCTGCAACACCAAAACAAATCAAGAAATATATGCTCTATAAAGAGTTATTAAACAAAAAGAATTTACAAAAGATGACCAAATCAAATCTCGAGGTTGTCTTGCAATAATGGTTATTAATTAGACAAACACACATGGAAAACATGTTATGAGGTCAATTTGAATGTCTTGACATCCAAGAAAATAAATAACTATAACAGAGAATATATCATTGGAAAAAATTGGATTTATCCGTAGTGTTGTTGGTTCTTATCTATTCTTGTTCATGTGAAACTACAAATATTTAGACTTCCCCACTGTGTAAGATACCAATTTTAACGGAGAAGACTGTTATTCTCATAAACCAAATAAGGGATGTAAACAATTTATAACAAAGAAAGTGAGGGATGCCCATTAGATTAGGAGAGGAAAAGAGGTGTACTAGATTTTTAATTGTCAGTCTTATATATCAGATATACACAGCAGAACAACTATCTCAAAAAAACATAACAAAAAAGTGCCAAACACTAAAGAATTCCTAATTCTCAAGAGGGCAAAAGAGGTGTAAACCTATTCTGAATAAAAAACACAAAACTCCAACACACAATCAAGAGGTCAACTATCCTGAAACAAATACACAATATAGGCTGAATAGAAAGTATGTATGAGAAACTCCACATGCAAGATTAAAGTGCATAAGTAGTAGGGGGTGTCCGACACACAGCCTGCAAAAGTTGATAATTTGTACCAATACAGCAAAATCGTGTACTCCCATTTCTCCACTATAGACCAGTACCAATACAGCAAAACAGTATCAATACAGCAAAATCGTGTACCTCCCATTTCTCCACTATAGACCTCCCATTTCTCCACTATAGACCAGTACCAATACAGCAAAACAGTACCAATACAGCAAAATCGTGAACCTCCCATTTCTCCACTATAGACCACCAGTACCAATACAGCAAAATCGTGTATAGAGCACTCTCATTTCTCCACTATAGACCAGTACCAATACAGCAAAATCGTGTATAGCACACTCCAATTTCTCCACTATAGACCAGTACCAATACAGCAAAATCATGGCAGTCTCCCATTTCTCCACTATAGACCAACTAAAAAGGTCAGTGAGTGAATAATTAGAAAACTTTTGTTGTAGAGCAAACTTGGTGGCAAAGAATCTTACTCTGTCAATAAGAGAGTTAACTGTGACAAATATGTTGTAGAAAAAGAACCAATAATAAAGAAATAATATGGAAGAATTCTCTAAACCAAGTCACAGATTAACATCATAACATAGAGAGGGGCCTGCCAATTTGTAAACTTTTGCACCTTGAAACAAAAACCCAAATGTAACAAACATTTGCAAGAGAAAAGCAGTGTTGATGGTAAGAACCCTTAAGAGAGGATCGATACTACACAGAATGTTACTCCACACTACATAGCATAAAACAGAGCTATAGTTCAATTCACATGTATAGCAATAAAAGCCAAGAACAAAATCAAACCTAAGAGTCAAGAAACCAGAAAGACCAGAGGAAATAAAAGAGCAAGAGTAATATGGTTTCAAAAGAGATAAAGAATTATTGAAAAAAGATTTTAAAAGAAATCATCAAACCAAAACTCAAGCTGCAAAAAAAACATGTCTAGAATTCAAATTGTATGTCTTGTGATCAAGTCCCAAAATAACAATAATAATGTACCGTTTCTATACCATTATCATATTGTAATCAAGAACTGCAAATTGCTCTAGAAATCTAGAAATCAGCTTGCTACATTATTGGTAATTGTGTGTCAATATTCTTTTAATTTTGATGGGATTGAACGATATCAAATGAAACATTACTAAATGAAGAATAGAATTGAAAAGTTATAGAACACAAGAAATCAAGAAATCTAGCAACCAAATCAAGGAATCAAGAAACTGAGAGAGAATTGAACAGAACACAATAAAACTTAAGAATCAAGAAATCGAAAGAATTCCTCTCCTACAACACCAAACAGTACATAAATCAATAAATATACAATCTATAGAGAGTTATTAAATGAAAAGAATTTACAAGAGATGACCAAATGAAAACTCGAGGCTGCCTTGCAATGAAGGTTATTAGTTTGACAAACCACACTGCAAGTTTAATTCGAATGTCTTGACATCAAAGCAAAGAAATAAATATAACAATAAACGAATCATTGGAAAAATTGGTTTTTATCTGTAGTGTTCTTGGGCGACAAAAATTTACACTTCTACATTGTAGAATACCACTTTGGCCAAGAGCTTATTCTTATAAATCAAAAAAGACAAAGGAAGTGCGGGATCCATTGACGCCCTCATGGCATGCATGGTTCACATATTAAGAATGGAAGTATGAAGCGTACAAGATTCTAGTATGCCTCTTTTGCTCTCCTAAGAGGGTGGCGTGTCTGACACACAACCTGCAAAAGTGATGATTTGTTCCAATCCAGCAAAATCATGTACAGATACCGTAAATTTTATGAATATCATAGTCATAATCATCATAAATCACAAATAAAAACAACATATGTTCTCAAAAACGAATCAATACACAAATCCATAAAGAAAACAATATCAGCAAACCCTGACATCAAGCCATCGCGGAGCAAACCAATCTGGAAAAGTTGAGAATAAAGAAATCAAAATCATATTGTTCTACTAGAGATTGAACGAAAAGATTTTACTAGAGAAATCAAAATCTTGAGAATTGATCGATCCATAAAACAAGAGTCGAAAGAACTCTGAAACTCGCCATAGCTACAATCTGAAAAAGCATATCAATTCGCAAAACCCTAACGATCTTCCTCTTAGGAGGAGATCAAGAATTCAAATCAAATTCAAATCATCAAACAATCTACACAGAAAGATATAACCAATTATTTTCGGTATTTTGGAATGAGGTGTATTATGGAGGGTTGAGGAGATTTATATAGTAAGTAGGATCAGAACTGACGGCTGTGATATCGCGAACATAGCAGCATTTGACGGTCACGATGCAATTAAAATAAGACGGTTACGCGTTCTTCTCAAAATAAGGCGGTGTGCGCAGATGAATTTAGAATTTAATATCCCATATATTTATCATTTAAATTTATATCTTTCTATGGGATAAAATATGAAAAATTTTGAGAAAAAAGAAAATATAATGTAAATATTTTTATACAGTTAATTAATAAAAAATATAAGTTTAATGATTATGCATTAATAGTGTAAAAAAGTTTTATTATGTTATCTAATAAGATTATATTATTCTGTAATATCATATAAATTTTTTAAAATTTTTAGTCTGATTTATTCTGATATATAATTATTATTGATTGATAGTATAAAATTAATTTACATATATTATCCATTTTTCTCACAAAAGATATATCATAATAAATATTATATGTATGAATTTTGATTAATTATATATATAATTGTTTTATATTGATCGTAAATTATCTTTAAATTCAAATTTTTAAAAGGTATAAATATGATAAATGAATATTGTTTTGTATTTTTTTTAAATAATAGTTGGTTGAAATTATTGGTAAATGTAATCCTTAAAATCTAAATTAAATAGTAACGAGTTAAATAATTTTATTGTCTAATTTCAATATAGATAAATTTTATAGACTTAAAGAAAATAAAATAGAATAAAATTGTGATCTCTAAAATGTAATAATAATTTTAATATAGATAAATTTTAAAATTATTTTAAAATTAATGATTTCAAAAAAATAAGCATAAAAAAAGTCAAGGACAATGGAAAATATATTGTGGTGGAAGAAAAGGTTATACGGGAGGATTATAAACGTGAGAAGAGGGTGATGACTCGGGATAAGACTTGCTTATCTTACAAGGATATGTCTTAGGCAAAGATATTGAAAGTATGGATGAAGAAGATGAATCAGGAGATGATGAAGACGATATATAAATGAACATTCTAGATCTTGAA